TTGTTGTTGTTGTTCTGTTTTTGCTTTGGTTTTTTTGTTGCTGGTTTGCTGCTTTTTTTAATTTGCTTTTTGGGGGTTACTTACATTTTAACTTTGTTTCTGTTTGGTTTTTTTTTAATTTATAGTTTTTTATTTGAGGGAAAGAAAGGGGGGGGGCAGTGGTATGTTTCTGTTGTACGAGTTTGCTTTCATAATGTGTTGACATACATGTAATAGGCTAATTCTGGCTTCTGACAACAGACATGTGAACGTACTGAAAAAAGAATAATTATGTACATAGGCTTTTGTTCCATCGAAGCAGCACAGGCCGTGTCACAAATAAACAATTGAATTTATTTGTTGAAGTATCGGAGAGCACAACAGAAAATTCCAAAAGAGTCCATGTCACAACCACAAGAAAAAAAAAAAATATCGTCCCTGGGTGGGCTCGAACCACCAACCTTTCGGTTAACAGCCGAACGCGCTAACCGATTGCGCCACAGAGACAACTGGAAAGTTGGTAGTTTCAAAAAACACATTACTAAATTCAAATTGATATCACTCATTTCACTTTTATTTTTCTTTTGTTCAGTAAAGTTGCTTGGTTTGGACTGAATATACTACTTGGATTCCACCATAAAAATACTAATTAAATAACTTCCCCACATTTTGATCAATACCTTGTAATATTTTTATTTAACCTGTAGAGAAAAATAAGTGAGATTACTTTTGTATAACCGCGACCTTCACCCCACAATGGCGGAATAACTTGGTTTGCGAAAGAAAATCTGAGTGACTGCTTTCGTTTTGGTGTGGTGGAGCTTTTATCATTGAATATTTCAATCGTTGCGAGCCTAGGCGCTAAGTAAACGGGTAAGACATTCTGAATTGTTCAATAATGATTGTTGAATCATTTTCTTGTTGACTTGAATCTGCTTTTGCTTTCACAAGGACTGCTGACTTCACTGATTCAAGACTGAATGAATGAAAATGAAGTGAAAGTAGAATTTGTTGGCCTTCACTTCAAAAGTCAGTCGAGTTCAGCCTTCTCTTGATCATTTAATGATATTGATTGAATAGATTGGTTTTGATTATTAGCGTTGTGATGAAGTAATGCATCTTTTTTGCAGTCTACAGTGTTGGGTCTCCCTGTCCTCTTCCTTATTATATATCATGCCTTATTAATTTAAAAAGTAGGCTATTTTCTAACTGATTGATTTGGCTTTAGAATTCACTTTCAGTTTCACTTCCACTCCCGTCCCATGCTAAAAATTGCATGGTCGTACTTTTCATTGTTTTTATTAGATGGTCTAATATAGACTCTAATAGGGGCCTATATATTTATGATAGAACCTAATTAATAATAGTATGTTTTTTAATTTACAAGAATCTTTACTTTAATTATTAAAATACCCCCCCCCCCCTACTTGTCTTGTAGCCTTGCAGCACCGACTTTTACAAATTATTATAATTTAGCAATTATATAGTTGATAATTTTAAGGTAAATTGCTTTCATGTAGATCTACCTGCCCTTCTGTTTTTTCCGAGGGATTCTTGATGTGAAATTTTATTAATTAATGATTATAATATTTGATTAATTTGCAGGTATCTTGATGCTTCAGACTTTTGTCAGGAAATTTCATGGCTCTTTTTCAAGATCTGTGAGTGAAAAGATGGTGCGAGTGCTAAATGTTGCAGAGAAGAATGATGCTGCAAAATCTCTTTCTGATGTCTTGTCCCAGGGAAGATTCTCGAAGGTAAACTGTTTATTAAATTAAGAGATGAGGTAGGAGTGGACAGGGTTTTTTTTTGGGGGGGGG